ATAATAATAATAATAATAATAATAATATAATAATAATAATAATAATAATAATAATAATAATAATATAATATAATAATAATAATAATAATAATAATAATAATAATAATATAATAATAATAATAATAATAATAATAATAATAATAATAATAATAATAATAATAATAATAATAATAAATAATAATAATAATAATAATAATAATAATAATAATAATAATAATAATAATAATAATAATAATAATAATAATAATAATAATAATAATAATAATAATAATAATAATAATAATAATATAATATAATAATAATAATAATAATAATAATAATAATAATAATAATAATAATAATAATAATAATAATAATAATAATAATAATAATAATAATAATAATAATAATAATAATAATAATAATAATAATAATAATAATAATAATAATAATAATAATAATAATAATAATAATAATAATAATAATAATAATAATAATAATAATAATAATAATAATAATAATAATAATATAATAATAATAATAATAATAATAATAATATAATAATAATAATAATAATAATAATAATAATAATAATAATAATAATAATAATAATAATAATAATAATAATAATAATAATAATAATAATAATAATAATAATAATAATAATAATAATAATAATAATAATAATAATAATAATAATAATAATAATAATAATAATAATAATAATAATAATAATAATAATAATAATAATATAATAATAATAATAATAATAATAATAATAATAATAATAATAATAATAATAATAATAATAATAATAATAATAATAATAATAATAATAATAATAATAATAATAATAATAATAATAATAATAATAATAATAATAATAATAATAATAATAATAATAATAATAATAATATAATAATAATAATAATAATATAATAATAATAATAATAATAATAATAATAATAATAATAATAATAATAATAATAATAATAATAATAATAATAATAATAATAATAATAATATAATAATAATAATAATAATAATAATAATAATAATAATAATAATAATAATAATAATAATAATAATAATAATAATAATAATAATAATAATAATAATAATAATAATAATAATAATAATAATAATAATAATAATAATAATAATAATAATAATAATAATAATAATAATAATAATAATAATAATAATAATAATAATAATAATAATAATAATAATAATAATAATAATAATAATAATAATAATAATAATAATAATAATAATAATAATAATAATAATAATAATAATAATAATAATAATAATAATAATAATAATAATAATAATAATAATAATAATAATAATAATAATAATAATAATAATAATAATAATAATAATAATAATAATAATAATAATAATAATAATAATAATAATAATAATATAATAATAATAATAATAATAATAATAATAATAATAATAATAATAATAATAATAATAATAATAATAATAATAATAATAATAATAATAATAATAATAATAATAATAATAATAATAATAATAATATAATAATAATAATATAATAATAATAATAATAATAATAATAATAATAATAATAATAATAATAATAATATAATAATAATAATAATAATAATAATAATAATAATAATAATAATAATAATAATAATAATAATAATAATAATAATAATAATAATAATAATAATAATAATAATAATAATAATAATAATAATAATAATAATAATAATAATAATAATAATAATAATAATAATAATAATAATAATAATAATAATAATAATAATAATAATAATAATAATAATAATAATAATAATAATAATAATAATAATAATAATAATAATAATAATAATAATAATAATAATAATAATAATAATAATAATAATAATAATAATAATAATATAAATAATAATAATAATAATAATAATAATAATAATAATAATAATAATAATAATAATAATAATAATAATAATAATAATAATAATAATAATAATAATAATAATAATAATAATAATAATAATAATAATAATAATAATAATAATAATAATAATAATAATAATAATAATAATAATAATAATAATAATAATAATAATAATAATAATAATAATAATAATAATAATATAATAATAATAATAATAATAATAATAATAATAATAATAATAATAATAATAATAATATAATAATAATATAATAATAATAATAATAATAATAATAATAATAATTAATAATAATAATAATAATAATAATAATAATAATAATAATAATAATAATAATAATAATAATAATAATAATAATAATAATAATAATAATAATAATAATAATAATAATAATAATAATAATAATAATAATAATAATAATAATAATAATAATAATAATAATAATAATAATAATAATAATAATAATAATAATAATAATAATAATAATAATAATAATAATAATAATAATAATAATAATAATAATAATAATAATAATAATAATAATAATAATAATAATAATAATAATAATATAATAATAATAATAATAATAATAATAATAATAATAATAATAATAATAATAATAATAATAATAATAATAATAATAATAATAATAATAATAATATAATAATAATAATAATAATAATAATAATAATAATAATAATAATAATAATAATAATAATAATAATAATAATAATAATAATATAATAATAATAATAATAATAATAATAATAATAATAATAATAATAATAATAATAATAATAATAATAATAAATAATAATAATAATAATAATAATAATAATAATAATAATAATAATAATAATAATAATAATAATAATAATAATAATAATAATAATAATAATAATAATAATAATAATAATAATAATAATAATAATAATAATAATAATAATAATAATAATAATAATAATAATAATAATAATAATAATAATAATAATAATAATAATAATAATAATAATAATAATAATAATAATAATAATAATAATAATAATAATAATAATAATAATAATAATAATAATAATAATAATAATAATAATAATAATAATAATAATAATAATAATAATAATAATAATAATAATAATAATAATAATAATAATAATAATAATAATAATAATAATAATAATAATAATAATAATAATAATAATAATAATAATAATAATAATAATAATAATAATAATAATAATAATAATAATAATAATAATAATAATAATAATAATAATAATAATAATAATAATAATAATAATAATAATAATAATAATAATATAATAATAATAATAATAATAATAATAATAATAATAATAATATAATAATAATAATAATAATAATAATAATAATAATAATAATAATAATAATAATAATAATAATAATAATAATAATAATAATAATAATAATAATAATAATAATAATAATAATAATAATAATAATAATAATAATAATAATAATAATAATAATAATAATAATAATAATAATAATAATAATAATAATAATAATAATAATAATAATAATAATAATAATAATAATAATAATAATAATAATAATAATAATAATATAATAATAATAATAATAATAATAATAATAATAATAATAATAATAATAATAATAATAATAATAATAATAATAATAATAATAATAATAATAATAATAATAATAATAATAATAATAATAATAATAATAATAATAATAATAATAATAATAATAATAATAATAATAATAATAATAATAATAATAATAATAATAATAATAATAATAATAATAATAATAATAATAATAATAATAATAATAATAATAATAATAATAATAATAATAATAATAATAATAATAATAATAATAATAATAATATTAATAATGATAATAATAATAAAAGTTAAATAACATGCCAAATTCTTTCAGTCAAAGTTCGCAAAATACAAAAAGTTTAAATTCAAATGGACTTTAAACATTGTTTGTGTAGAAGAGCATTTTGATAAATGTAGTTTTCATAACAGAAATTTTTTTTAAACAAAAGCATTGCCCAAATTTTTCATCTTATGCAGTTTACTTTTTAGCACTTTTTCAAAATTTTGGAATAAAGTGCTTATTAGTTTCACTCTTTCCATTCGTCCGCGGAGCTGTTTACAAAACTTTTACGCCCTTTAAGATAAGTGCCTGAAATTTTACATATAAATTGATTTTTAATAGAAACTTATTTCTGTACAAGAAAATTTTTACCTATCTTCACTGAAGTATTTTGATATATAAATAAAAGTAACTTTAAGTGTATTAGATTGTTTTTAAAAGCGGAATTTTTATTTGTTTAGTTACAAATCATTAGTTTGATTGAACTTTATTTATTTTAAACTTACCACAGATTGATCAGTTGAAATTATGTTGCCTGGTTTGCTATCAACTTGATAAGTAAGTGTATCTAAATGACTTAGGCTCTTCGACTTCACCTGTAAAATTAAGAGAAGGTTTTTAATGATTTAAATGTAATGTATTTTCAAACTGCAGTTTTGCGGTAATAAATCTATTTAAAGCACAGTTGTGAAAGTTCACAATGCAAGTTAATTTGTCAATATATTGCAATAAATGTTTAAATATTAAATCAAGATAAAGTAAAAATTGAGTTTTGTATAAAAGTAACATTAATTAAGTTTTTAAATACATGAACATGAAATTTTTTCTTTCATTTGGTGCACAAGCTTTAAATAAAAAAATTCCTAAAATGTTATGATGATTTTGTATTACAAATAAGTTCCTGTACTTAAGATCATAAACATAATACGTATAGGTACCGACATATTAATAATGAATAAATTATAAATACAGTATACCATACTTTGTACGGTTAACTTGTATTCAAATACAATTAGAATTTTTAATAATTATAATAAGGGAGGTTATGTGATGGCAAAAAAATTTTGCATATCGAGTTTCAAGTGGGAACACAGTTCTCCATACTAGGTAAGCGTAAATAATCTATTTTTAGAGAGGTGTCGGTCTGTTGGTCTGTCGGCTAGTCTGTTTGTCTGGCGTATGTGCACGCGTTTATCTCAAGTTCGGCTGAACCAATTTTCATGAAATCTTATGTGTGAGTTTGTTTTGGCTATGTCACGCATTGATCAACTTTTGGGATATATTAGGCCAAGGAAACTGGACTTTTTTGAGGGCCAATTTTAAATTTTTGCCCGCATACAGAGAATTAAGCAACCAATTTCCTTGAAATGTAATATTTAAATTTGGAGTGTTAGAACAATGAACATACAAATTTTTGGAACGATCGGGGCTCAGAAACCAAACCGATTTCACATTTTCTACCATATCTACGAAACGGAATGATAGAATTTCGTGAAATTCGATATTCGAGCTGTGCTTGTTACCGAAACTAACTAGCGCGTTTTTCAAGGAATTCGTATGGAACTGTAATGCATTTAATATTGTTCTAAAACATTTCAATATTATCTCTTAAAAATTTCTTAATAACATTTTTATTTAGTTTCAAGAACATCTTTAATATCTAATTGCATTATACAAACCTAAATTAACCGTCATAAATTTAAATCCAAAAATAATCAGTGCAACAACATTTCCATAACTCAAAATAGAATGACATATAGACAAAATAAAATGAAATATATCAAATATCATAACCCATAATATATGGTTATAAACGTATTACCTTATTGACTTAAAGATATCTAACAAACAGAAAGGAAGTAAATATAAGTAAATGTAATAAGAATCTTATGTAAGTACTAACCTAGATATAAGTTTAAAATGTAACAAAGAAGAATGGTAAAAATATATCTATATATAGTATTGAATAAAAGAAGATCAGTACAGTTGTACGAGTCCATTAAAGTAAGAACCACTGGTTGTTTTATTTAATAAAGTTGGGTCAAACCAATGGTTTGTATTGTAGCACTTTTCTCTTCAACAATTAAAAATACTCCTTTTAAGTACAGTCTATGTATATCTACCACACTACTAAAAATACTTTCATTCATAAAGGAAACTATTTCTAGGATTGCATATATTTAAGATGATGCATACATGCAGTCTTTGAAATAAAGCAAAAATTAATATAAAGTGGGGTTAACATAACGCTGGATTTTAAGGGTTAATTGTGTGAATTAAGAAAAATAATTATATTTTTTATTGTCATGGAATTTACCGTTAGCTTTTTGTGTTTATAGAAATTTGGAAAAGCTTGCGCTTTCGGAAATATAAGGTGGCAAAAATTCAAATTTTACAAATTTCAAGAGGCAATAACTTGTGAAAGGGGGGAAGGTGGAACAAAATTTGAGGCTGGGGCTTGGAAGAAAAAGGAAATCAAAAATTTGGAAAAAAGTACTTTAGATAACGGTAAATTTGAACGGCCATTTAGTTTTTATAAAGTTTAACTATAGTATACTGCGGTAGGAGAAGCAACTCACTGCCTTTCTGCGTTTGCAAAATTTCAAAAATGCTTAAGGTTTCATTGCAACAAATAAAAATAGGGAGATAGGTAGATTTCAGCTTTCTATTTTAAAGGGTGTAGAAGTTTTGTAAACAGACACCCGGACAGACGGAAGGACGGATGGACGGATGAACGGACGGATGGACGGACAGAGTGAAACTAATAAGAAATTTTTTTTAAAAATTTTTTGGAAAAGTGCTAAAAATTAATATTGATGTCACATATAATAAACTGTATACTTTATATGGCGACCGTGGCCTTTGAATCTCGCGGATATATAAGAAAATAACAGTGATAAACATTATATTATCTCTATAAAATATGAACTATAAAAAAATATATATATGTATATATGTATCTAATTAAACTCTGACAATTTAATAAGCTAACCAGTAAATATAAAAAGTATAAAAATAAAAACAAAAATTAAAAATAAAATTAAATTGTATGTGGATACAATTCATAACATTATAGTTGAAAAAAAAATTAAAAATCTGATGCGATCAGCACATAACCGACCGCAATGTGTATTGTCTAGCTAAGTTAGTGTTACAGAATATTATAAAAATGCTTGTAAAGGCCCGTAGTAAACGCCCAATTGCTGACGAATGATTTCTTCCAAAACTTAGGAGGTTTCGCGGATACGAAATTTCAAGTAAATATGTTGAATATTTTCTTCATAATGATCAAAAATGTAAAACAGGCCTGCTAAAAGGTGCAGTTTCCGAGGCCTGATATAACGCCAAAGCTGATCAAACCGTGCCGTAATCGAAATAAAAAACTTAAAAATTTAAATAATTAAATGATAGTAATGGATAAAAATTCCATAACGATCCAAACTTCGGTGGTCATGCAGGACAAAAAAGGTTATATGCAAAACTAAGAAGCAATTATTATTGGAAAAGCATGTTTAAAGATGTAGTAAAATTTGTTAAAAATTGTGAAATATGTCAGAAAAATAAAATAATATTCAAGAATAAAGAACCTTTACAAATTACAGAAACCCCACAAAAATAAATATTCAGAAAACATAAATTTTCAACTGCTTACTAACATGAAACATTAGGTTCTATTGAAAGAAATCATAGAGTTTTAAATGAATATCTGAAGGCATATATAAATGAAAATAAAAATAATTGAGATGAATACCTATCCTGCTTTATTTATTGTCATAATATTACATAAAAAAAGTATTCAAAGGGAAATTCTCTCCATTTGAATTGATATATGGTCATACTCCCATAACCCCAGAATTTTTTAGATAATATTATTAATCCGGTATATACAATTTTAATAATTATTTTAAAGAAGTAAAGTTCAGATTACAAGTTATGTATTGAGAGGCTCAAAACCTCTTAAATAAATCAAAAGAATTAAATAAATTAATATACATATAATAGAAATATTAAAAATGCTGAATTCCAAATATATAACAAAATTTTATTAAAAAAAGAACAAAGGCGTAAGACCACAATATATTGGACTATTTATAATTACAGAAATAACCGGTTTAAACGTAAAAATAACAAATTGAAAGTTAAGAATAAAGTTTTTTAAGGAATGTAATCAAGTATTGCAACAGTTTATTTCATATTTGAAAATTGAATTGAAGAAACAATATTATAAAAGAAAACTTGATATACTAATTAATAGCACATTATAATAACATTATCAATTTAATTTATGTATCAATAAATGATAGCAACATTTAGGCATAAAAATTATTCATTTCACTATTGTTGAATACAAGGTTACGAGCAGTGTACCTGTAGTATAACAAGAATAATAATATGTAATAAATTTTATGTGCTTATTCGGTGTCATTAGCAAATTTTACTTTTTATTTCCTTTATCAATTATTTAAATTCATTATCATTACATTTATTAAATTTCATTAAACAGTTGAAATTTCTACAAGATGGTTAATTTAAAAAAAAAGATTAATTTGAAAACAAAAACGTTTATTAAAAAAATAAGGTCAATTTAAAAAAAAAATGGGTTAAATTGAAAATAAAAAATGTTTGTAATGAAAATAAAAAAGATTAATTGGAAAAACAATAAAGTTGGGTCAAACCAATGGTTTGTATTGTAGCACTTTTCCTTTCAACAAGTGAAACTTCTGCTTTTAAATACAGTCTATTTGCACCTACCACACTATTAAAATTATTTTCATTCATATACAAAACTATTTCTAGGATTGCATATATTTAGGATGACGCATATATGCAGTCTTTGAAATAATGCGAAAATTAATATAAAAAGGGGTTAACATAATGCTCGATTTTAAGGGTTAATTGTGTGAGTTAAAAAAATAATTATATTTTTTAGTTTTATGGAATTTACCGTTAGCTTTTTGCGTTTATAAAAATTTGAAAAAACTTACGGTTTCGGAAATATAAGGTGTCAAAAATTCAAATTTTTGAAATTTCAGGAGGCGATAACTAGAGAGGGGGTGGAGATGGAAAAAAATTTTCTTCTAACAAAATGAACTATTTGTTAATGTCTAAAAGCCCCTAAAATTTCAAAGTTCTACATTATGGGGTCTAGAAGAAAAACGAGATCAAAAATTTGGAAAAAAAGAACTTTAGATAACGGTAAATTTGAACGGCCATTTTGTTTTTCTAAAATTTAACTATAGTATACCGCGCTAGGGGAAACAATTCGCTGCCTTTCTGCGTTTGAAAAATTTCAAAAATGCTAATGGTTTCATTGCAACAAATATTTAAAAAAGGCCATTTTTAGGGTTTTGGGGGGGTATAACTTCTCGAGGGGGGGAGATAGGTAAAAATTTTGTTCTACGGAAATAAGTTTCTAGTGAAGATCTATTTACGTATGAAATTTCAGCTTTCTATCTTCAAGGGTGTAGAAGTTTTGTAAACAAAAAAAGTGTCCACGGACGGACGGACGGACGGACGGACAGAGTGAAACTAATAAGCACTTTTTTCAAAAAATTTTTTGAAAAAGTGCTGAAAAGGTTAGTTTCCAGTAAAAATA